TAATCGAATGTATTGGACATTACACACACATTTGTTGTACCGGACACGACGTCGCGTACTTTCGTCTTCTCCGAACGAAATTGAACGGGAGTTCGTCGTGACAGTGGAATGAAATAAAGAGCGCAAACTGTCAGCATCGGCGTGTCACGATCGTAATGGTCCGCGGCGATGATAGTGACACCGTCCATTCGATACCGAAGCGTGAAATTAACCCGGGCGCATTTCCCCCAGGTACTAGAACCGTAAGCTTATCTTCCGCGCGACATGCAATTCCATTTTTGCGAGCGGGCGTGCGGAGCGAGTTGCACCGCGTCCACGTTTCCGCTAGTTGTAAAATTTTAACTCCGCCGCTGTGTGTTTGTAAAACATGCGGCTACACGAACACGTTTAAGCACCTTTTCCTTTTTGGATATCCGGAGCACAGAAATGCCCCGAACAGAATAAATAAAACGTCGAATAGAAATCGTGAGGTGCATTGCGAGTTTATTAATCGATATAGCAACGCACAACAACCGCTACTCTCTGGAGATTATATTTTTCGTAGAATATTATGTTTGCTGTTTTATTATCATTCTTATTTTTACGATGAGACGTGCAAAAGTTTCTTATTTTAGAATTTATTGCACATCCCTGATAGAGAAATATCATATTTTACTCTGGTCGCGCTTATAAAATATAATAGCTATAATACGCGTTCTCTCCATGCAGCCGCACGTACTTACAACCATGTGGTCCGATTATGTGATACGCTACACAGATGCATACACGAACATGTACAATTGTGACTAATGCAAATACAAAACCGCCGCTCTCTGGTGACCCACTGCAATATTATGCATTACCATTCGAAAGCCGCAAACGATTACCTTATCTCCCATTCAAGCGGCAAGTGTTGTTGTATTATCTCTGGCGGATGTAGTACAAGCCAGATCATCTCGAAAGAATGATTTTTTTCACTGCGTCCGTTATAAAAATGTAGAAAACACGCCGGAACAAGTGTTATTTTTTTCTAAATAGTGAAATTATTAATCCTCCTTTGGATAAATAGTAGTATGTTTGAATATTTTATATCTCTCTATTAATTTCAATAAAGAATGTATAATAATTGCAGAAATGATATTTTGAGAAAGAAGAATCTAAACGCTCGTGCTCGTTAAAAGAGCCATTAGTAGTACAAGCCAGATCATTTCGAAAGAATGATTTTTTTCACTGCGTCCGTTATAAAAATGTAGAAAACACGCCGGAACAAGTGTTATTTTTTTCTAAATAGTGAAATTATTAATCCTTCTTTGGGGAAACAGTAATATGTTTGAATATTTTATATCTCTCTTTATTAATTTCAATAAAGAATGTATAATATTTGCAGAAATGATATTTTGAGAAAGAAGAATCTAAACGCTCGTGCTCGTTAAAAGAGCCATTATGGAGCGCATAGAAGATAGAATTATGTAAATAATATATTGCATGCTTTGCATACATATCGTCTTTTCCACCCCTCTCCGTACAGTCTCTCTCATTCATTTATTTTTTACTCGCACTCGCATACGCAATACACGCGTACGGCGCCATCGCGACCGCCCTTTGAGTCCTTTGAGCCCTGCCGGAAGGGAGAGAGATCCTGTCGAGTTTCGCAAATTGTTCATCCCGTCGCGCAAAAGTTTCAACGGGCCGTTTCGCGTTCTCGGGAGCTTTGACGTGCATTATGCGTTATCGTGCGTCACGGTTTGCGCGGAATATTCTCTAGTCTAGCTGTTGACAGTTGTCGATGTTGCATACGGTAGTTCGAGAGGCCGTGTCGGAATTTCAAAGGGGCAAGTTTTATGGCAGGAGCATGTCTCCCGCGTTGCCTTCTGCTTGTTTTATAGCTGTGCATATCGCGTATATATATATATATATATATATATATATATATATATATATATATCTATATATGTGTGTGTGTGTAAAGTATGCATTAATGCCGCAGTAGCCGTGGTACATATGCATTATCCAATAATCGTCGCGATGACGAAAGTTTCGCGTACAAACAGGACGTGCAATGGTGTGCATTCGCAAGCAGCATCAAGGCACGTGTAAGTTCAGCAAACATCATTACGCCCGCGAGTCTGTAACGAATGTGAGACCGCGAGGTTTGTTAATTAAGAAGATACGTCAGCCCGCCGCGTTGTTTAATGCAATCTGTTCCCCGAGAAACCCTCGGCAAACAGTCGGTCGTCCTCTTTCCGTAACCAAGAGGTTCGCGCGCGAGAGGCGCACTTTAGCCGCAAGGATGTAAGATCCGCGCGCGAAACTGAAAGGAATTTATTATCTATCCAATTAAGACGGATAATTATGCACGCTGTCCGCCGCGCAAGCGTAAGCTTGTTAGTCATATAATCTGTGCGAGAATGTCATATATACGTGTTGAACTGTCGGAAAACAGTATCTGTCCCCAGAGATCAGATTTATGTCATTTCTTGCCCGAATTTTATATTCTTAAATACATGAAACTATAATTACGCGAATTTTTCTTTTTAATTTAAAACTCTCCTTCCCGTCGTTGTTGCATTTTCCATCGTATCTTGATTTCCATACTCATCAAACTTATGTCATTCTCAAGTATATAAATGTCAAATTATTTTTCATATATTTTTCATATATTTTTCATATATTTCGATCATATTTTAAAGATTAATCCTTTTTTTCGTAGCTGAAAAAATACAATCTGAATCAAGATTTGTGATATAACTTCGTTATGTTGCGTAAGTGCCATGCTACGCGTTATATGCTTTCAAAGCAATTGTATAGGACGAAACCCAGTCTGAGGAAGAGAATACACACGAGAATCGACACGAGTTATGAATGCGAGCTTGTCCCGTCGATCGCGATATATATTTTGGCAGTGTCAGCACACTATAATAACGTGACGAATTGTGTGCATCCATTGCGACATGTATTGCGGAGACAATCCCAGGACGTCGCGACGCCTGTCACACGCATGTCGCGTCATCGTTATGTATAATTATTCACGAGATCTACATCTCCAAGATCTAGAACGTGGTAGATTAGATTCTGTCTATCAATTTCCTCCGATGATATAATTCGCGTGCATACTGCTGTCCCCATAGGTTACCACTCTTCGTCGCATTAACTAACAATATTCCCGCTCAACCCGTTCTATAATTAAGATCATCATTTATCATTCGCTTCATGTGCTAATTTTGATGCATTATCTCGTTTCTAATTCGATGAGGAGCTGTGACTGTATCAAGACGGCTTTGCATTCTGCGTTTTTGGATCTGCATGATACATCTTCATGATCCCATCGTGTATTTATGATGAGTAATGATATGACTATGAATATGTGGTCCCCAAAATTCTTTCTCTCTCTATAAATGTATAAGAAGTATATATGCAAATAATTTCTACATTTTCATAGAATAGAATTTTAAATAATCAATTTATATCACGTTATAATAAATAGTATAACTTATATAAAGTGATAATTTATCTAAAGTAAAAAGCAAAGCAAGCTCATAGGAAATATTTGCATTCAAGCTTTGGAAAATGAAGTGTGGCATTATGCATACCGGAGCAGATTGACTCATATGAAACTTCATATGAAGTAAATCATTATAGACAAAGTTGGCTACATATACACACACACACACATACAGAGCTGTCGCGAATATTGTCGCCGTATATTGTTACGTGCGATTATTCACGAAGACGCATTCAGACTGGAGGAGAACGGGCGTACCGGATCTCGTCCGTTAGGTCTGTCTGGCTTGTCCCGCCTGGCAAACCGAGGGCGAGATTACGACGCCATCCGCTTTTCTCCTTGCTGTCGCCCTGCTTACGCTGTCGGAAACACGGGACTTCCCGCGAAGACGTCACTATCCGAACGAATATCTGCGCCATGTTCTGAAAGCCACTTCCGCCGAAATGGGACGCACGTTCGAAAGTTGGCGAGGAGCACGCTCTCATCCGGAAATGTCGCAACGTCATACAAATACGGTGTACAAATGCGTTTGCCGGTTATAACGTCCGTTGATCTCTGGTGTCTATTTGGGCGCAATTTTCGATACAATCCTGTCACTATACCGTGCCAAGATTCTATTACTTTTTCAGTGTACATAACTAAGGATACGATTTATGTAGGTCTCCAGAGTAATTTCTGCCAAGATTTAATTGCACTTAAATATTACGATTTCAAACGGACAGATATTCTATTAAATATTATATGTAAGTTTTAACGTTAGAAAAGGAAAAATCGTAAAGACGATCTTCGACAAATGTAAAGCTCCATTATTAAATAAAAGATAATTACGATGCGTCACTAGGTATTTTCGCATACTCGTATATTTACGACAAAGTACATTGCGAAGTACGCGCTCGTATTAAAAATTTCCATTTGCGCGCCGACCTAGAAGAATGTAATGTCATTTCCTCGACCGGATCTTATTCCGCAGAAATGACAGGCATGCTCGCTTGCACGTACATACACACAAATACAATAAATGCATGGAGGCTTACGTAGACGCCCGCATTTATTACATCGCGAGACACGACGCGGCAGCCAGAATCTCCGCTCACCCTGGTTTCGAATCAGAAACTCCCCGAGCTTCGAAGCGGGCTCGTAAAGAATCTAGGTGCGCTCCGTTGCGCCGCTCGTCTCACCCGCCCGCAGTTACCGCAGATCGGTCTATGCGCAGATTTGTACGTGTTATATCTCCCTGCCAGCACTCGCGAATCTCGTCGTGGAAAATGGTCCGCGAACGATTCTCGCCATTTTCGCGGTTCTGTGATAAATTCTTGTTGCCCCGCTGTTGATTTCGATCGAGATATAATTGAAGACGGTTAGATTAAATCAATTAATACCGATCGCGGAATAGGGGAATACAATCGATCGATTGAACCGCGCTCGACTCAGTTTCCAATTTATTTCAATTTTCGATTTTAATTCCATTTCAGGGGGCACATTTGTCTCGTGTAACACCAGTCGCTCGTTTTTCTTGCAGGTTTACGAGATGTACGTGACGGGTTATCAGTTCAAAGTGCTATCGCCTGTATTTACGGGGCACTGGGGACTGCAGACCAGAAAGAGCAGACCCGCCTGGCGCGAGCGTCAGAACAGTGCCAACAGGAAGCAGTTTGAGACGTTCAAGAAGGAAGTATTCGCTCGTTACATGCGAGATCCGCTCAAGATGATGAAGAACGCTAACTGACAAAAGGTCCATCGAGAGTCTCGTTGAATCGAGATTTCGCCGTCATTTACGTTCGTCTTGACACTCAACACATCGAAGAATCCAGAGTAGAGTTAGGCCTCTGGCTATTGTCAGTGCTCACACCATTTAATGTAGTCGATAGATTCCAAGTGTTTCACGTGAGTCAACGAATAATATTTATACATTATCTTCTATCTTATCTTTATTATTTCTCCAAGCGATGCAACGCATCGCGTGTAGATCTATAATTCTTTCTGTCAACTTCATTTAACTCTCATAATATTTATTATGTAAATCGCTTAATATTTTCTATACTAATTGGTATTCATCAATCATAGTAGAAACTGTTTTTAATTATCTGCATACGCATTTGCGTAGAATTGATTCTATCTTTCAAAGATACTTGATTTTTTTACTCTTCGGGAACAATGATGAAACTGTATTAAGACAAAGTACTCTAGTATGCTCGAGAGAGCAGATGCCAGATCGAGTAACCACGATTCGCGCTACTTATCGAACCTTTCGGTTCATCGATTCCACTAGGCGAAACCAACCGCGGAAACTCTTGTTACTTCTACTCACGATTCCCCAAAGTCATCAGAGACTGTGCCATACGGGATCGCGGAATAAATATCTTCTCGTGAGTTTCGCGGCACGTACTCGTGCATGAGGAGTGGGAAAACGCGGGCGGGAGATCTTAAGTGAGCGTACCTCGTTAGCTGTCTGGGGCTTAAGAGAGGGTGGCGTTTAACTCCAAAATCGATACTTCGCTCGACGCCGACATAGCGCCCCGAACGTAAAATAAACAAATAGCGTAAACTATCGTCATGCCGTATCGCCCTGATTGCATAGAAGGATGCGAATTATTTTATATATATATAAAAGATGTCGTAGATTGTAGTTTCTTTTATTTGGACGTATTTTTTGACCAATATCGATTAAATCGATTTTTCTTTAACAATAAAAAATTGTAGTATCATCGATAATTTTTTATAAGAAAAACTTTACAAGGAAATTTTATAATTAACTTTATAGAAGATAGAAAACAAAAAATTTCAAGAAATTTATTTTAATCGAATTTTATATATAATTCGAGATTTAATTAGACTAAATGGTTACACGCAAATCGAGTTTAAATTATCTAAAAAATTTATAGATTAGAATATACAGAGAATTTTGGATACATATATAATCAAAGATGGCAAATATATGAAAGAGAATGACAAATAATATCTTATTATTAAAACATATTATTAAAACGTGTTCTGTACAAGTCAAGTAGATCGACGATATTTATGGCGATATGGTGGCATCTAAGACGTAATGTACGCGTTTCATTTAACAATATAATGAAATCGTTCGTGATATCATAATATTTTTACGTTAATAGCACCATTATTTGTTTTACTTTATGAAACTGCAGGGCAATTAAAAGACGAAGTGTCCCGAGAGCTGTAGGTACAAGGATGTATTTACATTTGCTCGCGTTGTATAAGCTCAATAGCGACAACGATTGCTCAAGAATATCGCCATCGATAACATTTCATCTGATTAACTCTTAGATAACACTTTCGTTTTTCCTTTTAACTGACATGATGCAACCTGTTAAATTTTTTAGCTTTTTTCTTTAATTAAAAATGAAGTATTTTATCGAAAATTTCCACTTCGTTATTTATGTTTAACGATAATTACAAGAAATTGTAATTAGTTTATATTATGTAATACATAAGAAAAAATATCAGCTTTTTAGCTTATTTTATAAAATTATGAGAAAACTGTTGGTGCTGACACTGCATTGTCAGTTAGAAGTTAAAACGTTTCAACGTTTAATTTAAGGCACAGAGTTATCTTTATATTATAATGTTTTTACTGATAGATGTAAAATATAGCGCGTAGGCGGTGTTGTGGAATGATATAAAATGTAATAAAAAATTACGAGAATTATGTATATACTGCTGCCTTTCTAATTCTCGCAATAAGTTCCTTGTTAAGGAGCGCAGCATATTAAAAGACATGAAAATGTTACAAGTTCTGTCCTATTATTCCTTCCAACAAGAGACAATAAAAAATTCTAAAAAATTTACATAACTAAATTTAAAGAAATAATATTAAATCAATATTAATATATATTAAACGTTAAATTAAACATAAAAAAAATGTCTATTATTTTTTGGATTTAATTATTCGTGACATATTTATCTTTTATATCTATCATTAAACATTACGATAATAGAAAAATTAATTTTTATTCATACATATATTTTAAAAAATTTAGTTTTTAGCTATACGGCTTCTATAAGATTTACAATGTAAATCATGTTACAAAATGACGAACAAAATCTCATTTTGCATGTATTTGTGTATTATATTTCGTCTCAAAGACAATTGCATCGCTCTCGTATTATGCGGTGTTGTTCTATGAGATAACACTTGACTCTTCCCATTCATTCCCTAATCCTGAGAGAGCTGCACGAATAATCCGATTAAATATTACGCTATTGTGCTTTGCAAGCTCAAACGCGTCAATTTTTTTTACAGTTATCTCAAACGATCTCCCGAACGTTCGGCAGTTAACTAGAATCGCGAATGCTGACAATGGTCGACAGTAAAAAATATATATAGCAGGACTTCACCGGATGTGGGATGGAAATGCTAACGATCGGGCGGTTTCAGGGCACATTCCGACAGCTCCATAGCGCCAGGTTGCGGCTTATAGCTACGTTTTATCGTGTTACCGCAGTTGCATCGCGTGTCATAGGTGCCGACTTCGAGTTCATCCGGACCTTCGAGTACACCGTAAAGAGATATCGACGGCACGTGCGTTGAATATACAGAGCGGTGGGAAAACACGCGAGTCATATCTTCGAGAATAGATTTTTCGAATTTAGAGAATTGATTTTTCTTTAATAAAAACATCGAGACAAGAATCACTTACCGATCTGCAAAAATTTTAATATTTCGATATTTTAGTTAAGAATTTTTCACTGCAGGTTTTATCTGCAAAAATTTTCTCTCTCTTGATGCTTTTTGTTTAGAAAGTTATTATTTCGATATTTTCGTTAATAAAATATTGATTTGGATTTTTTGAAATTTATGTCTAAAATATTATTCAAACTTTTTTTGAAATATCCTGCATATTATTCCATGATTCTTTTTGGTTATATATAATCTTTACGAGCTCATTATTTAATAGTTTATTCTCCATTTCTGTAATCGCATTTATGGAACCGTTTGGAGATGAAGGAAGGCACTAAGCTTCGCGCAGTCTTTCTTCTTCACAGTTTCTCGCGCATCGGAAAACACGATGGAAGTTTTCGTAGCTTACGTCAATGCACTCGATGACGTAACTTCACGTTTAAGCCCGAGATATAAACCGTTTTCCCAGCTTTTCCCCGCGATCGTTTCGGTTTAGTAAAGTTTGTTTACGACCATCGTGTCTCGTTATGCAAGATCGGAAAGGATGCGCGCGAGAAACCGTAGTCGTTGCCGTCGATGTTGCTGTTATAGTCGTTATCGCTTTTGGTTAAACCAACGATACATATATAGATACAGATGTGCTATGTTAGTTGTAAAGGATTACTGCGCGCAAGAGAGTGCAAGTCCTTAAAGAAAAAAAATGTGAATTTACTTATATCACAGCACATCAAATGCGTAACAACGAAAAAGATTTTATTTTTCGCGTAGTTTCAATTTGATATTCCCACCTCAAGAAAATTTGAACATGCCATAATTAAATATTAATTTATTGTTGATTATTTGTTTTTTTTAATCGCGCATTTATTACTCCTATCAATTAACAAAAAATAAATCTAAAGGTGAGATTGATTTAATATTATACTAGCAATTTCACTTCCGAAAAACATTTATAGCAAATTATAAACAAAAAATATGTTAAGATTAAAATTATTGATTAATTACTCAGAAATACTACAAAAGTATATACGCAGAATCATATAGCTATATAAAATAAAAGTGACTAGAGGAAATAATAAAGTAATTAATAATATCAATTTAATTATTATTAATAATATTATTTCAAATATTCAATTATATATTTTATAAATATTAAATTAATTCTACACTTAATTCTATAAAAATATCTTGATTTTAAATTTATTGCTTGTAAAATGAGTTTGAAAGAATAATGCTTGCAGCTACAAAATTAAATTATGCTATCGCAAAGATGAATTGAGCAATTAATTTTATAAATAATAAATTAATGAAATTATGAATTATTCATTGATTGCTTTATTATCGCTTGCTTTTCTGACGTCCTTTTTCTCTTTTATTGGTCTTTTGCTTCTTTTTTATGATATTCACCTGCAAAAGCACGGTTAATTAAAATCGCGCTTACTAATCAGAACAAACGATTGCTCGGTATTTTACAACTCTTGATGGTCGTGCGACACGCATTTTCTTTTACTCTATTGTAACGGGAGAATTCGAAAATCACAGTTACATAAAACTATGATTTGTTTGATAATCACGGGATCGAATTCGTACAATGCTTACTAAAACAAATAAATATATTTTACAGTAATTTTAATATCTCTCATTGCAACATAAATGAATATATAAGTTTTAGAAAATATATTTAAGTTAAAATTAAAATTAATGCCATATTCTATGACGCATGAAACATGCAATGTTTTCTTTTTTCGGGTTTTACTGTGGAAATAATAATAATAACCACATGTAATAATTTTGTGCTACATATATTAAAATATAAAAATTCTGTGTTATATTATTTTTCAAAGTAAGTACAACAGATATTAAAATCCTAAAGAAGACAAAAAATAAAATAAAAATATCTAATGCAAAAAATACCTATTACTTACAATCACAATTAATTTCAAGTGTATGTAAAGCCGAGCGGTCGTATTCTAATGATAAATGCAGAGCAGCGAAGAACAAAAGAGAAAGAAGGGAGGCTTTGAGGAGCAATTATAAAGTAAGTAAGTTATATAATACTTATTTACATAATAGTTATATAATACTTATTTACAATATTTGTTATTTAGAAAATTATTGTCTAATTTTTATCTTTGCAGTAATATAATTTATTCCTTCAGCGAAAAATAAACATTGGAATGTTTCAAATTATTTTTTAATTTTGATAGCAATTAATTCTAAATTTTAAAAATAATTTGATATTAAATTAATATGATCATTTTTTTCTTTCTTCTTTCTTATTTTTAATCACTGTATTCCTTTATAGTATTCCATTATAATATTCCATTATATATTGCATTTATAACAATTTAATATTTAAAAAATTTTTTATGATAGCTTTATGAATTTATTAATTTTGGTATATTTGTTTTTATTTATAGTTTGCTATATGTCTTTTTCGAAAATAAAGATGCTAATGTATAGTTAAATTATTTTTCTTAATTTTTTAATATCAATTTCCTGTTAATTAATAAAGACAAATTTATAGAATTAATGTAATAATTTACAGGATTACAATAACAAATTAGCACATAATTATACAATTTGATTTCTCAAGATGAGAATATCGGGTTAACGAAAGCTATCTACATATCCTCGCGTATACTTTGCTACTTGTGCGCACCGTTAATCCTGGAGCGCGTTTCTTGAAAGAGCACGCGTCGCACTACGGTTTAAGTATAATATATTCTGGCGTGAATGTTAAAGCTCGCGTTGTATATTCAACATCATATATACAGATTTATGCCGTTGCTCATTAATAATCATAAGAACGCAGGAGCACACTTCCAATTGCGTGATATATCACCGTGATTAGAATTTTACGAATATTTAGTTTTTTTATAATAAAGAGGAGAGATTATTGTTTTTTTGCAAAACGGAACGGATAAGAAGTAAGATTAATTTTATGTTTTTTGAAATTAGTTATTTGCGTCTCGTGTCAAAAATTTTATTTTATGATAATAAAATACGCGCGCGTTATATTGAAATAA